GGCCCGCAGGCCACATGCAAATACAAATATGTATTTGTTCCCGTTTTGCTTTTTTACTTCAAAATAAGATATGTGCAGTGTGCATAGGAATTTGTTCATAGTTTTTTTTTAAACTATAGTCCGGCCCTCCAACGGTCTGAGGGACAGTGAACTGGCCCCCTGTTTAAAAAGTTTGAGGACCCCTGTTCTAGGGAGGTCGAGGTAGAAATGTGGGGACATTCGGGAGGACTGAGCCCCGAGGCTTATCCATCCCATGTCTCTGTTTCCCGTGGGAAGGACCCGGAGGCTTGGTCCAGCGAGACATTCCCGGGACGGTGTGACAGGGCAGGGCTTGGGAGCATGCTGACATCGCCCTGGGCGACGCTGGCGCCTCTTCCCAGCCGACTGTGGGCCTGGTGAGTGGGTGGGAGTCAGGTCACTGTGCAGGGGTGGGCAGCATTCCCCGCAGGGGCAGGGTGAGGAGGCCAGGAGAGCCGAGGGATCCACGTGATGCGTGTGATGCGTGCAGTGTGGGTGGGAATCCTCCCAAAGCTCACCTCTGCTCCCTCAGCAGCGCGCTGGCGGCCCCAGGCAGCCACCCAGGTGCGGCTTCTCCAGGGAAACCCGGTGCCCAAGCCGCCCAGACCCCAGGCAGCGGGGCCTCCCTCCCCGGGAATGCGGGCGGGCCTCCCTCGCAGGCCAGGGCTCGTCGGGTCAGGAGCCTGCATGGGGCGGCCCCGGCTCAGAGGCTGGGCCTCTCTCCTTGGGAGCTGTGTCACCTCCTCTAATCGGGGCTGGGACGGTGCAGGCCAGACCCTGGAGTGGGTGACTCACGAGGTCACACCACTGGCGCTGCACGCAGACATGCGGGCCGTCTGATGACCACCGATGTCTGCAACTGGCCCTCCACCCCCAGCTCAGGGCCCTGGGCCCTGCAGGTGACACAGACCCAGGCTCGCAGGATGGCTGGTATGGACCGGGGCCTGGAGCCAGCTCCCCGGCCCGACCCTGTGGCCCAGGGTGGGGAAGGGACCGAGGAGGTTGAGAGTGACGTAAACCCAGGTGGGGCCTTGGGCTCAGCCAGAGTGTGGGGCCTGGCTCTGTGTGTGACTGTCATCAGAGGTCCCCTCGGGCTTGACCCTCAAGTTGGAAGGAAAGGCCCTGGTCACTCACGACACCCTGGGGTCAGTGGTCTCCTCACTTGGGAGAAGGGAGAGACGTTAGAACCCAGTCTGGGCCTGAGAGAGTGCTCAGTAACGCCAGGCTCACGGGCATCACCAGGGTGAGAGGCAGCCATGCTGGCCCTGAGCAGCAGATGGGGTGGACTCCCCACGTGGAGTCGCTGGCCTGCCCGGTCCAGCACAACCCCCTCCCCCAGGTCCAGAAACCTCACCAGGTTGCCATGGTCACCTCCCTGACCCCTGATCCCTTTGTCCTTTCTCCCTCCTGCCTGCCCCCTGCCCCCCTTCACTTGCTCCACCCTGCACGTGGCTCTCTTGTGGTGCGCCAGGCCTGCCCTCTGACCCATGCTCCTTCCCCTGTCTCGGGCTGGGGTTCTCGGGCACTCCTCTCAGCTCAGCGCCCGCCCACCCCCTGCAAACACAGCTCAGGAGAGTGGGAGGGCTGTGTCCAAGCCTGGTCTCCCGCTAACCAACTGTGTGACCCCCAACAAGCTGTCTACTCCCTGAGCTGGGTTTCCCGGCTGCCTCCTTGGGAGGCCCTGGTGGCTCGGGCAAGGAGAGCCTGGCAGCTTTGGAGCCCAGAGTGGGAAGGTCCTGGTTTCACGCGTGCCATGGCGAGGTCCGGGGCAAGCACCTGTGCCTGCGATCCAGGCTCCTGCCTGCCTCGGGCTCCTGGGGGCAGTGGTGGAGTGCCTTGTGCCTGGAGGCCATGAGGGGCATCTGGGGCAATGGGTGCCCCTCCTCCAGGCAGCCCCTGGTTGCTGAGAGGTGTCTCTCCTGCTTCCATTGGGCACACAAGCCTCTCCCATTGCTCAGTGCAAGCACTGGGCTGTGTCCCAGAGGCCTGGCTGCCTGTCCCCTCTGCCTTCTGTGGCTGGGGGAGGAACTGACCCATCCCTGCCCGTCATGAGCTATGCCGACGCCAGGAGAGTCTCCGCAGTGTCTACAGCCCTGCTGCCGGTGCTTGATTGAAGAATGTCTCTGCCCAGATGGCTCTGCCCCGCGTCTGGCTCGGGACAGGGCACCCACAAGCTCTCCAGGACCCTGTGGCCCCATCCACACCTCGCTGCTCTCTCAACGGAACTGGGGGCCTCATCTCCCTGCAGGCTCACTGACTGCCAGACCGTTTCCCGCACACTCCGTACCAACACCCCAAAACAGCTGCCGCCGCAGGACAAAGCCTCCTAGAAACAGCACAGGGTGGCTCAGGGTGGGCCCGGAGCTGCAGGTGGGAGGGGGTTTCATCTGGTGACAGAGGCTTCCAGGTGGCACAGAGATTGCTTGCTCCCTCAGTCCTTCCAGGAACGAGGTGGGTGGAGGAGGTTTCCAGCCCCCGGACAGAGCACAGGGGTACGGCCCGTCAGCTGGAGAACCAGGGCGTCCCACCGAGCCCGCACACATTTCCCGAACGGCCGTGCAGTTCCGTGGTGCTCTGGCCCAGAGCTCAGCCTGTGTCCGCTGCTGCTGTTCCGAGGCCGAGGTACCTTAGATGCCGAGAGAAGAGTAGCTCGATGTGGCTGAAGCCGGCTCCAGGTGAGGACGAAGGACCGAGGAGATGAGGGCTGCCATGATTAATAATAATCTATGAAAATAAAAGCGTAATATGCTAATTAGACCAGACAGCCGAACAAGGGCAGAGGCAAGCTGCTGCAGCTGTGAGGGCTGAGTCCCTTTGTAGGAATTTTGTGCATCGGGCCTCTAGTATTAATAATAATAATAATAATAATAATAATACAACCACAACAGACTGTGTTGCTCTGTGTGAGCGAGCCTGCCTGCTCTCTCGGGGAGCAGGAGCCCTTCCCGTGCAGGGCCTGCTGGTTCAGACAAGGGACAGCAGCCTTTATCCTGGTCCTCCCCCGGGGGCCGGCCACGTGTGTCCCTCAAACTGCAAGTGTGAAGTTTACGCTCTCCTGGACGGAACCAGCTCCGCAGGCCGTCGGACCAGCGTACTCAGGCCGACAGGCGACTCTACGTCTTGACAAATGGTTGCGGTGCAACGTGTACGTGCTGGAACCTCTCCTTTTCAGAGCAATTTCCCGTCGTGGGAATGTGAGGTTCAACCTCAATGCTGTGAAGTGGGCATATTTTGGGGAGGGCCCCTGTTCTGATGCCCAGGGACTTGTCTGCCCTTGTATGTGCCTGCGTGTTCAGGAGCCCCGAGGGAGCCGGAGCAGTGACGCGCCGCGGACAGTGGAGCAGGAGTCACCGGCAGCTCAGAGGGGCCGGCTGGGCCCGTCCTTCCTGCTGGCACCCCATGCGGTTTCCCTGCTGGCTCTCCAGGACGAGGCCTGTGGACGACCTTCTTTCTCCCGGGATCACTGGTCCATTTAGATAATGACACTTCCTGCCGGTTGATCTCAGCCAAAGTGAAGTCAGTTCCCCACTTATTTGGCCAGAGCGTTGCAGAAGTTTTCCTTTTGGGGAAGAGAAAAGAAGGCGGCCTCCGTAGCGGTCAGGAAAGGGAAAGCCCTGGCTTCCGGCGCAGCCGAGGAGGGGACACGGCGGCCCCTGCACACAGCTGAGGACACATGTCGGAGGATGGACCCAACCCCCCCGCCCCAGGGCGAAGCGAGTCATCCAGAGCCCGTCCCAGGCCAGGCGCCCAGGGCTTCCCGCTGCCAGCGCTGATGTCCTGGCCTCGAAGATCAGGCTAGACCTCAGGCCACTGCTCTCCTCAGGCCACTTGGGAAGCCTGGCCCCGACCAAGGGCCCCCCGTCACCACCCAGCCGTGCGCAGTTGCTCTGCGAGTCACTCCCTGCCTTGGCCTTGGCCGTGGCCTCCTGTCGGACGCCTCATTGGAGTCACACAGCCTGCTGGGCCTATGAGGTCCTACTCCCCCTATGAGCCCCTACTCCCCCTGCCCAGCTTGGCTCTTGGGGCAGGTCTGACCCTGGAGACTGTGGGCTCCAGGCTCCCTGCCTGGCCACCATCATGTTCCATGTTCAGCCAATGTCGCTCTGGTGGGAGCCTGGGGTGGAGGCGGGGGAATCCCTCCTCTCACTGCTCAGGCTGCGTCTCCAGTCACTGTTGCCTCTCTCTGTAGCTGGAGCAGCCTGACCCTGGCCTTGGGTGCTGGTGACACCCTCTCCTCCTCCTCTCCCTCTGGCGTGGGGCAGAACCACCTGTTGTCGGCACTGCAACAGGGTCCCCGGCACCCAGTGTCCTGTCCAGGCTGCCTGAAGCTCTCTCTGGCCACAGGAGCTGGATGTGCCTGGAGATGGACGACTCCAGAGCACTGGACAATGAAGATGTAGTTGGAGGACCAGCGGCCAGCTTCCCCTCCTCCGGGGTGGGGTGTGGTGCAGCCCTGAGGCGTATCTGCAGTCTCCCCAAGGCCCCCAGCGCTGTATTGGCTCCTGCCCAGCCCCAGCCCCCTCCTGGGGTGCCAGGGGTCACCTCCCACACAAACTGTCCTGGAATCTCTTCTCAGCATCTGAATCTGAGATCCTCCCAAGCCTCCTGTTCTCATCTCACCACCCCCTAGTTGGCTTCTCAGCGGTCCCCTCACCCCTTCTCTTTCTGGGTCCCCAAAGCATCCGTGTCCAGGGCAGAGGGGTGGGCCTCCCTCTGCTTGTGGGGGTGCGGGCAGGGGGCAGGAAGGCAGAGCTGGAAAGGGGGTGCCTCAGGAGGCGTGAGCAGGCGGGGCGCTTACTGCATTGACCCGTCGAGTGTTGGAAACTTTGGCCAGCGCCCTAGATTGCTGGTGCGCCCCCCCCCACCCCCCGCACACCCTCCCCCTAGGCCTGGGACAATGGAGCCTGCCGGTTACATAAAGTGCTCCTTACATAACCAGCGTGAGGATACATGAAAAGCCGGGCAAGTCAAAACAACTACAGCCGGGCGGGCAGGCGGGCGGGCAGGCTCCGTGGACAAACACCGGAGAGTGGTGAGTAACCGTCGGAAAGCCCCAGCCTCGGGCAGGAAAGGGACTCTGGGTGGGGCCGCCTGGAAGAGAAAGTGGTTGGACAGAGAGACACAGAGGCCACCGCCGGCTCCCAGGGCCGGGCTGGGCACAGCCGTGCGGCGCTGCTGGCCTTAGGGTTCCGAGCCACCAGGTTCCAAGTCCTCCCGCACCCCAGCCCTGCTCAGCCCTGCGGCCCCGGGTGTCCCTCCTCACACGGCTCACAGGCCACACACACTTGGGGTGTCTCTTCCCTCTTGGCTGCAAAGCTCCTCTTTTAGGTGCCCAGGTCCTGCCCATCCGTCCTTTCCTCCTCCAACAGGAACGCCTGTCTCCTACCCCGACTTCTGCTTTTGTGATTGTCCTTGTCTTTATAGATCTTTGTTTTGAACACTAACTGCTCTTTATACCCTTTGGTTTAGCTTTCACTTCATACACGAGACTTCAAATGTGTGTTTACAGACTCACAGGTGTGGCCGATCCCTCCCAGTAGATGGTGGCGATGTGAATCCGAAGTCGTGTTCAACCTCCTCCGTGTCTCCCGCAGGACCCACAGCAAGTGCCCCAGAAAGCCAGGCCGATGCTATCTCTCGCCAGCTGGCCTCTAGCTGTCTGGACTTGGGAGGTGGGAACATTCTGATCATTTTTGAGCGAATCCTTCCCTAGTCACACTGTTGCTAGCTGCCATCCCAAATGTAAGGACTGGATGGATGTGGGATTCCTGCTATCAGAGCTTGTTATCAGAACTTTCTCTGCCTGAGCTCAGGAACCAAAAAGGTTGAGACGCAGGGGATAGGGGGTTTCCGGATGCACATGGCGCCCGTGACAGGGCCAGCACATGCTGTCCTGAGACTCCACGGCGGCCACTCTGTCCCGACTGCGGCCCAGAAGCAAATCAACACACTGTTATCACTGCTTCAAGGGCAGTGCCCACACAGAATACGCACAGATTTTGACTTGAACTCTGGATCTGGGATTTAATTCTCTATGCAGCACTTTTCTCACCTGCAAAATTACAAAAATTGTATCTATTTTTTAAGGTTCTTCTACAGAATAAAAATAATATATGTGGAGTGACTGGTATCTATAGTAGGCCCTGGATGAATTGTTATTTCCATCAATATTGGTAATCAACTCATTCACGCCCAGGTGTCTTGCTGCAGGCCTGGTCCCTGCCCCTTGTCTGTGCTGGCCCCTGGCCCCTCACTTCACACCTGGACTGTGGCACCTCGCAATAGTCCAGGATGATCTCAACAAGATCCTAGTCCAGTCACATCTGCAAAGACCCTACTTCCAAAAAAGGTCACATGCACAGGCTCCGGGATCAGGACGTGGACATATATTTGGGAGCCATCATTCAACCCACTCCAGTGGGAAGGTCCCCTAGTCATCAGTTCTGCTGTGAGCACAGATGGCCGGAGGTGCCTGGGCTCATGGGAGCCAGCACAGTTCAGGCAGAGCGGGAGGCCTGGGGTGTGGCCTTCTTTGCACAGCAGCAGTGTAGCCCTCAGAACCCCATCCCCCCTACACCAACACTTTGAGCTCCTTCCTCCACCCAACTCCCTCCCTCTCTGCTCCCTCCCAGGCCACCTCTGCAGCTTATCTTGGGAGAGTCTCATAGCGTTTCCCCCTTGGCATGCAGAGCCTCACACAGATCATCATCTCATCCCCCAGCTTCTCTGGGCGGAAGCTGAGCCACCTCCCTGGCCCTGTACCCGGGGTGGGAGAGCAGGGTGCACCTACACCAGCTGTGAATCTACAAGGCAGTGACAATGGAGTGGGGGCAGAAAAGAGGGAATTGAAAGGGGATGAGGTGGGCCCAGGATGTCCCCGGAAACCCTAGGGTTTAATCCAGGTGGTACCCCGGCATCAGCCTACAGCATCCTCAGGCCCCTCAGGCACCCCACGCCCACGCAGACCCTGACACTGGAGGCTCTGGGCCCATCTCTCCCCGTTACCACTCACTGGGACCCCAGAGAACACTGGGCCAGCCCCACATTACTGAGGAGAGGAGGAGCTTGCTTTGTTTAGGTTCCTCAACCTTCTGGCCCTTTAAATACAGTTCCTCATGTTGTGACCCAACCATAACATTATTTTCGTTGCTACTTCATCACTGTAATGTTGCTACTGTTATGAATCGTAATGTAAATATCTGATATGCAGGATGGTCTTAGGCGACCCCTGTGAAAGGGTCGTTCGACCGCCAAAGGGGTCGCGACACACAGGTTGAGAACCGCTGCATGGGAGCTGCCCTGGTGTTGTTCTTCCTGCCTTCACCTGAATGGCGCTCCCTAGAGCGGGGGGGGGGGGGGGGGGGGGGGGGGGGGGAGCTAGGTGCCTCCCCCCTTCACCCTATCCCCTTGCCCCTGTGGCTATCCTGGGAAGGCAGATGCATAAAAATAGCTCCATCTTGCTAAGCCACAGGCCTCTTTTCTGGGAAGCGGGGTGCGGTGGGGGTGGGGGTGGGGTCCTTTTCGGGCTTCCTGGGACACAGCCTGGCTGTCTGTGCTGGCCACGCCCCTCCCTCAGCTGCTGCTGCGCATCCCTGAGGCCGCTGCCCGCCTGACCCCTCTCTGGGGACCTCACGCGTCCCTTTTTTAGAGCAGTATTTTTACCCGGGGTGGTGCCAAGGGTCACCCAGCCCTGCTCACCAAGAGGGCCTGCAGGAGCAGCCTGGGGCAGTGCCTCCCCCCACGGGGGCCTCTCAGCCCATCTTCCTTCTATGGCTGGAAGGGAGTCTGGGTATTTTTATCCTAAGTGAGTGACCAGGCAAGGACTCTTCTCTGGGGACCCAAAATGACTCAGAATGAAAAATGGGGGCGCTCACAGGAGCTCCGGGCCAGCGGAGCACACTGGCCACGGTGATTTCCAGTTCCTGTCTGCCCATAGTGGAGGGGCATGGGACCCAGGTTGCTCCCTCACCAGGAGAATGAGAAGGACCCTCCTGGAGTGATGGGCACCCCAGGGCGGTGTGGCCCACAGACCCACTGGGGCTTGAACGGCACCCTCACCGTGACCCTGGTCCTGGGACGGAGGCTCCAAGGGCACGCGTGGCCCCTGATGTAACGTTTGGAGCTGAAGCTGCTCACCGTTCACCTCTTGGCGCTTTGGTCCCTGTTCCTGCCGTAACCTGCTCCTCTTGTCCCTGCCTCGCGCCCTGGTCTCGGATTCACCACAGGCTGGTTCTCTAATAAACACACGCAGTGACTACTCTGAACTGGTAATTGGGTGTGTTTACCCCATTTACCTTTAATGTGTCATTGACACCGACTGGGTGTAGCCTGTCATTTTACTATTCACTGTGTCCCCTCTGGATCTTGTCCCTCTGCTCTCTTTTCTTGCTTTCTTATTTCAATGTTTTGTAGCATTCCCTCGTAACTTACCGATTGGCTTTTTGGCTCTGTCACTGGAGTTTTTCAGTTCTGTCAGTGGAGTTTTCGCTTTGTGATTATAATCGACTAACCCTAGCCTCTCACAGTCTCCTTAGAGGTCATATTTTGCACTTGAAGTAAAATGGAGAAGCCATAGGACCCGAGATTCCCTCCCCTCCTTCATTTTAAAAAGATATTATTGCCCAGCTGGTGTGGCTCAGTGGTTGAGCTTTGACCTATGAACCCGGAGGTCACTGTTTGATTCCCATTCAGGGCACATGCCCAGATTTCGGGTTCCATCCCTAGTTGTGGGGCATGCAGGAGGCAATTGATCAATGATTCTCTCTCATCATTAATGTTTCTATCTCTCTCTCTGAAATAAATTATATATATATATATATATATATATATATATATATATATATATATAAAGTATTGTCCCAATGTCTTTCTGTCACCATGTTCATTTTTAAAATTTTGTTGTTTTTAAAATTTGTGCACCTTTAAATTTTGTACCTGATTTCTTTTTAATTAGTAGACTTTTTTAAAGAGTAGATTTAGGCCCCGACTGGGTGGCTCAGTTGGTTGAAGTGTCATCCCAGACGTGAAAAATGTTGCGGATTCAACTCCTGGTCAGGATTCCATCCCTCAGTTATAGAGTTTGGGCAAGCCCGGCATTTGCTCTGACTCTGGGAGGCAGTTATGGTGGAAACCGATGCCCATCCCCGTGACCTGCCTGTCCTCGATTCATGCATGTTTGACTATAAATCACTTAGAGGCTAAGTAGACGCCCTCCATTCCTGCCCACGTCTTCCCACACAGTGGGGGCTTCGGGAAGCTGGGTCACATCGACATGGCGTCATGCACTGCCTGGCACCGTAGGGTTCCCATGGGGCTGGACCCGCGACCCGGCCCGGGAGCACCAAGCTCCAGCCAGCTGCCTGCTGGGAGCATCAGGGATGTGTTTGTCATTCTGGACACAACAGATATTGAGGGTGTTGATGGGGACTGAGAAGCTGAGCTCCAGACAGTGCTAAGACGTGGCTCCTGGGATATAACTTGTAACACAGAACCCTGCGAGCTGTGTGGGTATCATTCCTCAGTGGGAGGAGGAAATGGACAGCAAAAGGCTGAAAGAGCAGCAGGAAGGCCTAGGCAGCAGATCTGACACGCATTTGCAGTGAGCTGGGGAGGAGGGAGGCTCAGGTGTGGCCCTGGCTGTGCCGTGGCTGTGGCTGTGGCCGTGGCCTAGAGGGATGTCACCAGAGGACTGTCCTGCCGCCCAGGAGGGTGGTGTGTGCAAGGCTGGCTGGGTTCTTCCCTGACCAGCGGGCACGTTCTAGAGACGGTGGCACGAGTGTGGTGTCTGTGGGAAACCTCTGAGGCTGGGGGCCTTGATGTGGGCACAGGTCACGCTTTCCTCCCGGCAGAGCAACCAGCTGCCAGCACAATGGGAGGAAAACTGTTTCCTTCACTTTCTTAGAGGGACACTAAGGCTCTGAACAAACACAGGGCCAGAGAGCCCTCAGTTTTGTCTCCTAAAACCCACAGGTGACCGTGTCATCAGGAGGAGGTGGGACTCCAGTGTCTCGGGCCCGGCTTTGCCAGGAAGCAGCCACGTGACTGTGAGCTGCCCCACCTACGCAGCCTCAGTTTCCTCATCCGTAAGCCCAAGGAGCTGCATGTTCGGGACCTGACGTGGCTGGTGCTGCTTCACTCCTGATGTTACGAGCCTGCCGCGCTTAAACACTTTTATATTTTTTTGTTAATCCTCGCCCGAGGATATTTTTCCATTGATTTTTTAGAGAGAGTGGAAGAGAGAGGGAAAGACAGAAACACATCAGTTGGTTGCCTCCTGCAAGTACAGGCCGGGGAAGGTCCTGCAACCATGATACGTGCGCTTGACTGGAATTGAACCCAGGACCCTGTGGTCCACAGGCCGATGCTCTATCCACTGAGTCCCGCCGGCCAGGGCAAGCTTAAACACCGTTAGCAATGAATCGCTCACATTTAAAAACCTCACCTAAGAACCCAGCATTCCTGAGGCCAGCCTGCACATCTGTCCTCCAGGTCACCGGCGTCCCCACCACTGTGCCACCCTCTTTGCGTCTGTTCCTGCCAGGGCCCTGCAGTCACTGACTTTTTCACAACTTGTTCACGTGTCCCCACCACTCTGTCTGAATGGTGACCTGTGCTCACGGTCTGGGGACCGGGCTGACTCTGAGCTGAATCAGGGCCTGAAAACCCAGCCATGCCACGTGGTCCTCCATGAGCACAGCCACCGGGTGGTCAGGGTCTGGTGACACGCTGTCCACCAGCTTGGACGTAGGCACCAGGGGTCAGTGCTGCTGTGAGCTAGGTATCCCCAGAGCACAGGGTCGCCCCGATCGCCCTCTCTCTTGGATCCAGCTGCTCCCAAATAACGTCCACTTAAAATGGGCTGGTCACCCTCAGGGTCCCAGGGAGCTGGGTGGGTGCCGACCCCCAACAGCCTCCTCTGACTCAGCCGGCCTGACTCCTGAAGGCCCCGGGTGACCTGACCCTGATTTAGGGAACGTTGCAGCAGGGGTTGAGCCCACAGGGCGTGTTCCTCGCTCTGAGCCTCGCCGCTCACGGTGCTGGGGGCGTCCCTGGAACAGGGCAGGGGAGCGTTGGCCCCTTCTCTGGGATCTTGAGCTGTCTCCCTCCCGTGTTCTTGCCTGCGGTGGATTT